AATAAAATTAAAAAAATAAAAATTGAAAATAAAAATAATGAAAAGAATAAAAATAAAAATAATTAAAAAATAAAATAAATTTAAAAAATAAAAAAGAATAAAGATAGAAAATAAAATTTAAAAAATATAAAAAATAAAAATTAAAATAAAAAATAGAAATAATAAAATAATAAATAAATATTAAAAATAAAAGAATAAAAAGAATAAAAATTAAAAATTTTAAAAAATGAAAAATAAAATTAAAAAATAAAAATGGAAAAATAAAATAATGAAAAGAATAAAAAAAAGTAAAAAATGAATCTAAAAAATAAAAAGATAAAAAGAATAAAAATTAAAATAAAATTTAGAAAATATAAAAAATAAAAATTAAAAATTAAAAATAAAAATAATAATAATAAAAATAATAAAAATAAAAAATAAAATATTAAAAATAAAAGATAAAAAGAATAAAAAGAAATAAAAACTTTAAAATAAATAATAATAAAAAGAATAAAAATAAATAAATAAATAAATAAAAATAAAATAAAAATAAAAATAAAAATAAAATAAAAATAAAATAAAAATTAGGAGCAGCCACCCGTGCCCGGGGGTGCCACCTCCCCTTCTGCCCCGTGGGGTCGAGCTGCCCTGACCCTGGTACCGTGGTGAGCCCCAGGTACCAGGCCCCCCGCCCCAGCAGGAGGAGCGCTCCCAGCCCCCAGCCCGCAGCCCCCAGCCCCCAGCCCCCAGCCCTGGGCGCAGAGGCTCAGCTCAGGTCTCCCCCTGGCTGCGCGCAGCCGCCTGAATCCGATCTACACACACAGCCCCCCCATAGCCCCCTCTCTCCCCCACACCCCCCCCAAATAATCTTCAAAGCCAGGGACCTGGCAGCCGTTCTGAAGGGCGGGCAGCGCCTGGGTGCCCCAGCTTGGCACAGAGCTCAAAGGCTCAATTAGCAACATCTGCTGCTGTGGGCTGCGCAGCCCGCTCCCCGCTCCCCCCCCTCGCCACCGCTCGCAGCTGGGAGCAGCATGGAGCGGCCCGGGGGGGGCTCCTCCAGCGGCCCCAAGGGTTGTCCCCAGCGGGGTGGCCGTCCTGCTGGCGTGGCGTGGCACCAACGTGCTCCTCGTCCCTTGAGATTTCTCGCCCCAGCTGAAGTGGGGGGGTCCTGGTGAGGTGTGTGCGTGCTCATCTCCTCCAGGGGATGCTGAAAAATATCAGGGGGGGTGCGGGGGGAGCATGGGGAGATCTCTCCAAGCAGGGGATCGATGGCCCGTGTAGGGCAGCAGGGACTGGGGGGGATGGACACGGGTTGGGTACGCGTGGAGAGGACCCCCAAGGGACCTGCTCCCAGGGTTAGTGGCAGCAGGGGGGCAGTGGGGTCTGGTCCCTGTCCCTCTGTCCCTCCCCAGTCCTCCCAGTTGCAGAGGTGGCTCTGGGCTGGGGAGCAAGGGGTTGGGACCGGCCTCGTGCGCCTGGCAGCGCCGGTGAGGGATGCCCAGTGAAAAAGCCACGGGGCAGCCAAAAGGGAGAGGCAGCGGAGAAGGGGCGCACGGCCGGTGTGCCGCAAACAAAACGCAGAGCAGAAACCAAAAAGGAAAGCAAAATGGAAAGCAAACGACAACCAAAAACCCTAGGCCGTGCACCACGGGTCCCTGGGCACGGGGCTGCTCCGGAGAGAGCCCCGCACCGCTGAGCTGGGAGGGGACGTGGCCCCGCTGGGAAATGCAGCCCGTGGCCTGGGGGCTGTGGGAGCCCCCCGCCACCTCCCCATTGTCTGGGAGCTGAAGCAATTGGAGCCTTCGCCCCAGGAGCCGGGAGCCTGGCGGCCCTGGGGGGGCGCGGGGCCGTGCGCTCTGCAGGCTTTCCCAGGGGGGCCGTATAGAAGCAGGGCTGGGCGCTGCTGGCACCGGCCCCGCTGTGTCAGAAACGCGGCCAAGCGGTGCCACGCGAGGGCCACCGGGGTCGGCAGGGGACAGGGCTGGGGGGAGAGGAGGATTTGTGGATGGGGGTGAAGAGAGCGGGGTCCCCCCGGAGAGGGGCTCCTCAGCCTCTCCATGAGCCACCGAGGGCAACTGGGTCCTGTGGGGGATTTTTTGGGGCAGGGAGCTGCTGAGGAGTGCTGGGGAGCACAGCCTGGGCACCAAGGCACGGCTCTCCTGCCCTTCCATCTCCCCCTGCGGGGAGGTTTGGGATCTCAGGGTGGCCGTGCCCCTTTCTCCACCTTCTGGCAGTTGTATGGATTTGCTGCTCACCAGAGCAAGGGCGGCCGAGCTGCGGAGCTCTCAGGGCCTCTCTCTGCGTCGAGCAACCCCATCCTGGCTGCAGGAAGCCCTCCCAAACCGGGGGTGTCCCTTTGGAGACCCCACTAATGCCCAGCAGGATCCCCCATAGCTGGGAGCTGGCGAGCTCTGTGATGGGTGCGGGGGTCTCCTCTGGCACCTGCCACAGTTCATGGCTCGTTTTTCCCAGCAAAATGCCAAGAAACCCCCAAAACACATCACGGAGAGCCTTCACAGGGAGCTAAACCGAGCCTTGTTGCGCACTGCAGCACACAGCAAGACGCCGGCCTCATCTGGTGGGGGCCCCCCTGCTGGTTTTTCCCCCCCCCCCCCCGATGCCTCTTCTTGAGCCCCCGTGTCTCTGCCTGGTGTCGGAGAAATGTTAACAAAGCGCCCTGCCCGCCGGGCGGCCAAAAAAAAGCCGAGACAAGGCCGGGGAAGGCTGAGCAAACGGAGCCGTTTGCTCGCGAGGGGCTGTGTGTACACCAGGTTTTTTTTTTTTTATTTTCAGTGAAAGAGCAAGGGCTGGGAGGAGCAGGTAATGTTTTCCCAGCCAGGGAAAACCGGGGGCATAGCAGCGCGCCCTGGAAACGGCCCCCTCGTCAAACAGGGCCGTGTTTGAGCAGCTTTATCGGGGCTCGGTGCTGCTGGTGGGGCAGGGGCAGGCTCCGCAGCGCTGCCCTGAGCAAGCACAGCTGGGACCAGCTCCCAGCACGGCCCCCAGCAGCTGGAAAATCCCCCAGCAGGGCTGGGCGGCGAAGAAATGAGGAGGCAGGACCCACAGAGGCAGGAGCAGCGCTGGGCTGGGCTGTGTGGCTCTGGTCCCGAGGCACTGGGGCACTTTGCTCTCAGCATCTCATGGGGCACGTAGGGGTTTGGGGTGCTGCTGTGTGTTAGCCCTTTATAGGAACGACAGCAGCGTGCTTCAGACAAGGGGCACACGGCTCCTACATCGTGCACAGCATGGGGCATTTGTGCCTGTGCCGGGGCTGCTGAGGGAACACGATTTATTTCCAAAATTACGTCTCTGATGACCCAACCCTTGGTATGACCGTGTGCACAAGGGGAAAAAAAAAAAAAAAGGAGGAAGGCCAGGCTGCAGGGTGACCCCGAGGTGGGAGGTGACGCTGTCCCCTGGGCTCTGCCTCCAGCCCGCGGTGCAGTTTGGCTTCTGTCACTCCCGGCGGTGTTCGACATTTGTTCCTCCTGCCTGTGGAGCCTCTCTTGGCTCCCCACCAGCTCTTTTCTCACCTCGGTGCCTCAGCGAGCGCGGAGCTACCTGTTGGGGCTCAGGCTCGGGGTGTGCTGTAGGGACACCCAGGTGCCGATTCCCTCCTCCGAGGCTCCCCTGGGTGCCCTCCTGCCAGCAGGACCCGTTCTGGAAGGGGAAGGAAAAGAGAGAAGGAAAGGAAGGAGAGAGCCACGGGGCTCGTGCTCCATCCCGGACAGGCTGGGATGGGGTGTGAGGGCGTGAGGCTCGGGGAGGGAGCAGCTCGCCCCTTGCAGGCTATTTCCCTTAGGTCTGTGGGGCCAAAAAAACACCCTTAGGGGATTCCCCAAATCTGTGGGGTCCCACCTGTGGCAGCCCAGCCCGAGGCAGCCGATGCTGGATTTGACGGTGCGGAGCTCCCGGCCCCTTGTCCGGGATGGAGGCGAGCGGCGACCCCCGCGGGCTGCCCCCCCCCCAGCCCGGCTGCAGCCCAGGGGGGGTCCCGGGGCCGGGCCGTGCGGGAGGGAGGCGCGGAGCTGTCCCTTCAGCACCACGGCACCGGGCACGGGCACACGGCGGGGCCGCACCGGGCCGGGCCGAGCCGGGACAGGCAGGAACCGTGCTGGGCTGAGCCGGGCCGAACCGGGATATGTGCAGGGTGCTGGACCGAGCCGTGCCATGCACCGTGCCGTGCCGTGACATGTATATGCACCGTGCCAGCCCGGGCCATGCACCGTGCCATGCCGTGCCATGCCGTGCCATGCGCCATGCACCATGCACCGTGCCGTGCCATGCCGAGTCGAGCCGTGCCAAAGGGTGCCGTGCCGAGTCGTGCCATGCACCATGCACCGTGCCATGCCGTGCCATGCCGTGCCATGCCGTGCCATGCTGTGCCATGCCGTGCCGAGCCGTGCCAAAGGGTGCTGTGCCAAACCGTGCCATGCACCATGCACCATGCACCGTGCCATGCCGTGCCGTGCCGAGCCGAGTCGAGCCGTGCCAAAGGGTGCTGTGCCAAGCCGTGCCATGCACATGCACCATGCACCATGCTATGCCGTGCCATGCCGTGCCATGCCGTGCCATGCCGAGTCGAGCCGTGCCAAAGGGCGCTGTGCCGAGCCGTGCCATGCGCCATGCACCGTGCCATGCTGTGCCATGCTGAGCCGTGCCGAGTCGAGCCGTGCCAAAGGGTGCCGTGCCGAGCCGTGCCATGCACCATGCACCGTGCCATGCCGTGTCGTGCCGAGTCGAGCCGTGCCAAAGGGCGCTGTGCCAAGCCGTGCCAAAAGGAACCGTGCCATGCCCAACCGTGCCAAACCGAGCCGTGCCAAACCGTGCCAAACGGAACCGTGCCGTGCCACCCGGTGCCAAACCGTGCCAAACCGTGCCAAATCGAGCCAAACCGTGCCACCCCGTGCCAACCCGAGCCGACCCGAGCCGCGCTGCCCCCGCTGCGTGCCGGGGGGTCCCGGTGGCGGTGCCGGTGGCGGTGTCGGTGGCGCAGGCGCAGCCCCCCCAGGTGCCGGCGGCGCGGCCGAAGATGGCGACGGCGTGAGGCCGGCGGCCCATGGCGCCCGGCGGCGGGCGGCAGCAGGGGCAGCCGCGGGGCCGGCGGAAAGCGGCGTGAGGCGGCGGGAGCCGAAGCGGCGCCGGGAGCGGAGCCGGGAGCGGGGCCGGCAGCGGGGCCGGCAGCGGGGCATGCCCCCGCGGCGAGCCCGGCCGCCGGTGCCGGTGCGGAGCGGCGCCGCCTCCCCCCGCCGCAGCATGGCGCGGCCGGCGGGCCGGGGGCCGGGGCTGGGCCGGCGGTGGTGGCGGCGGCGGCGGGGGGGAGAGGCGGAGGAGGAGGCGGCGGCGGCGGCGGCACCGGCCTCGCGGCCGGCCCTCGGCGCCCCTCGGCGTCCCCCCGGCCCGCCGGGCGCCGCCGCCGCCTCGCCATGATCCGCGGCGCCTGGCTGTCCCCCCGGGGGGGCGGCGGGGCCGTGTGCTGCGCCCCCCGCCGCAGCGACAAGCCGGCGGCCGACCCGGAGCGGGCGCAGAAATGGCGCCTGTCGCTGGCCTCGCTGCTCTTCTTCACCGTGCTCCTCTCCGACCACCTCTGGCTCTGCGCCGCCGCCGCCAAGCTGCGCGCCCGGGAGCGGAGCGGCGCCGGGAGGCCGCGGGGCCGCGGGCCCAGGGCGCTGGGGGAGGCGGAGGACGGCGGGGCCGGGGGGGGCTGCGAGGCCTTCGTGGGCAACCTCAGCCGGCCCCCCGCGGCCCCCGGGCCTTGCCCCGCTCCCCGCGGCGACCTGGACTCGGCCTGCGCTCGCCTGGGCTCGCTGCAGCGCCTGCTGGGCTCGTTCGCCGGCGGGCAGCTGGCGGGCACGGCCCCGGCGCCCAGGAGCTTGCTGCAGGCGTATTTTGGGAACTTGAACCTCTCCTTCTGCGATAGCTACACGATCTGGGACCTGCTGCGCGAGATGGCCGGCCCCGACAGCCTGGACTGCAGCCTGGACAACCTGATGCTGGACCTGGTGGCGGCGGCGGCGGCCGGGGCGCTGGGCGGGGAGGCGTGCAGCAGCTGCGTCCAGGCGTACCAGCGGCTGGACCAACACGCTCAGGAAAAATACGAGGAGTTCGACCTCTTGCTGGAGAAATACCTGCAGTCGGACGAGTACTCGGTCAGATCCTGCGTGAGGGACTGCAAGGTACGAGGGGGTGTGGTGTGGTGCTGGGGCTGGGGGCGAAGCGCGCGACCCCCATGGTGCTCGGCCACCCGTGGCCATCCCCATGGGTCTCTCCCCGTGGCGCTTCTCCCCAGGCCTCTAACGCAGGCAAACAGGCCCAAAAACCCAGTGGAGGAGGCGGAGGTGGGAGAAGGGGACGAGGCACGCGAGCTGCTCACAGCCCCGGAGCTCCTGGCAGCAGGAGGACGCGGTGCTGGGGGCTCACAGCCCTCCTGCGCCCGTGCCGGGTGGAGCCACGCTCCCTGTGCTGCCCAAACCCAGGGGCTGGCAGCGCTTGGGGACGGGAGCAGAGTCCTGGGACAGGGCTCAGGCAGGGCAGGGCAAGCAGGCTCGAAGGCAGAGCCTCCAAACACGACACCGTGAGGCCATCACCGCTGCCTCTGGCCTGCGGAGAGGAGCTCTGCGCGGCGCTGGGGACAGCATTAACCCAGGCTGTAGGGGCAGCGGTGACCTGAGATGAACCAAGGAGCTGCAGCCCCCTCCCCGGGGGCACGGCGGGCACGCAGCCCTTTTGCAGCCCTTTTATCCCTTTGCCCCCAGGGCTGGCGAGCTGGGATCTGCCTCCCCCGGCACCCCCGGCACCCCCAGCCCCGGTGGGTCGCCCTGGGGGTGCCCCCCGATCTGCCCAAGTGCCAGCACTCCTCCAGCAGCCGTCCCCGTGCCCTGCTGTGCCCAGCGGAGGGGAGAGCTCGGAGCAGCACGGTGTTAGCAGCAGAGCAGGCACTCGGGGAGCACTTCGTGTTCCTACAGCTGCGGGGCTGCCTTCCCCAGCACCACACGGACCAAACCTCAGCCCGGTTCCGTCTCTTCCCAAAAGCGAGCAGCGTAGCTGTGCCCCCAGCCCCGCGGCTCCCCACGGCCACCCGGCTCGCCCCTGCCACCTCCCTCCGCACGCAGCCTCCGGGAAGCATGATGGCTCCGTAATTAAACCTGCTTCCCTCTCCCGGAGCCGTGTGGTGGAGAGGCAGCGCCGTGCCTCGCAGCCAGGCGCTCTCCTCGTGCGCCGCCCCGAGAGGGCTGCCTGCAGAGCGTCCCCTGCTCCCCGTGCAGGGCTCGGGCGCTGCTTTAACGGGGGAGTTTGGAGGGGTGCGTGGGCAGCTCGGGGCCGTGCTCTCCCCCCGGCACGGCGCTGGGGACACGGGGCCTGCCTTTCACCAAGGGCACGGCCGCGAGGTGCTGGCCCTGGCTCTCAGGACCGCGTTTCTGCACCCGCTCCCGCCCGGAACCGTTTTGGGAAAGGAGCTGGCGCTGGCGTGCTGGGCCGGCGCCAAGGCAGGTAATTACAATCTGCTCGCCCAAATTCCCCCTGCGGTTTCGGAGGTACGTAGTAGCTGGCTGGCACCAAGCGCTTTGGTGCCGCCGCTCTGCTCCCGTGGCTGCATCTGGGTGCTGAATGAAGCAACCCGGCACCGGCGGGGGCTGAGCGTGCTGTGCGCCTCCCGTGCGTGCAGGCGGTGGCGACTGCTGGCCCCGGATCTCGTGCTCTGGTGCCGGGTGGGCTCGGCAGAAAGCAGGAGGAGCTGGGAGGGATGGAGCGGGCTCCAGGAAGGGTTCGTGGCCACCTGGGCCAGTGGCAGCCCTCGTGGGGGTCCCACGGGGTCAGGCTGAAGGCAACACCCACTGGTGGTGAGGGGATGTCCCCGGAGAGCAGAGGAGGGAGAGGTTGGTGGTGGCTTTTCAGGAGAGCCCAAATAGACAAGGTGGGTTTTGGGGCAGAGCTCCCCGCGCCCTCCAGCCCCCGCATCCATCCCCGCCGAGTCTGAGCTGCGTGACCCCAGCACAGAGACCTGCAGAGAGCAGCACACGGAGCAGAAAGTCCTCAGCTGGGCTCAGGGGACTCCGTGGCAGCCAGAAACAGAGCCCTGCGTGGATGAGCCTTCCCCGGGTGCCCGTGGGCCGTGAGCAGCCGTGGTGGGAAGGCAGGAAACGAGCTGGGGAGCCGCGAAGCTGGAGCTGGCAGCTGCGAGGCGTGCGGCGCGGATCCTGGCTCGCGCCCTTCTCACATTCGCGGTTGCCTCCGTGGAGCATCTGCGAGCGGCAGCGCCGCGGCTCCACAGGCGCCACTTGGGACGCAACAGGAGGCCGCCAGCAGCAGGCGACCCGCGAGGCATTCCCCGGGGGCCCAAATTCTCCGGCGTGGGCGCCCGAATCTGCAGGCGTCGACCCCAGCGCTCGCTGCGGTGCCTGGTGGAAGCAGGGCGCTTGTTGGAGGCGATTCCCTGCGTGCTGAGCTGCTTCGCTTTCAGCTCTCCACAGCTTTCTCCTCTCCTGTGACTTGAGGCCGCCAGCAGCCTGGCCCGGTGCTGTGGCCGTGAGCTTTTGGCCTCGTTTCCCCCCCCTTTTGGCCTCGTTTCCCCCCCTTTGGCCTGGTTTCCCCCAGCCTCCCGAGGCTTAGCGGGGGCTGCGCGGGAAGAGCCGGCCACGGGAGCTTTAAAGCGCCCTGGGTTTGTGATTCCTTCCCAAACGCTGAACAACGCTGCACGTTCTGCCCTGTGGTGCTGTGTGCTCGGTGAGGTTTGGTGGCAAAACTGTGGCCGAATATCCCGGGGGAAGCCCAGGACACGGGCACGCAACCAGCGGGCTCCATGCATGCGTGATGCAGCGTGGCAGGAGATCCCGATCCCTCCAAATTGCTGCCCCGCCTGGTGCTCGGGGCTGGTTTTCTCCTCCTTTTCCCCCCTCTTCCCGAATTGACGAAGCCCAGCGTCGCCTGCAGCTCGGCTGCCACGCAGTCAGGGCTTTGTGGCTTTAAAGCCGGAGGCTCTGTGCTTGTGCTGCCTCCCTCAGCCCACAGCCGCTGCGCAGAGCGCTCCTGGAAGCGCAGCCCCGGCCTTACCCGGGCAAATAAAGATCTATGGGACCACGGCTGGTGAATTAAGGCCTCATTAGGCTGCGGGAAACAAAGCAGCGGGGAGAGAAGGGCTGACAGGCGGGAGCTGCAGGAGCTGGGCTGGGAAGGGCAGGCTGGACAGGACCTGGAGCGGCTCAGCCCTGATTAGATTACCAGGGCTCCTCTGTGTGCTCGGGCCGGCGGCTGTTGCATCGCGCTGCGGCCCTGCCTGGAGCTCCTTCCCCACCCTGATTTCCCCGTTACCCATATCAGGGACCCCTTTGGGTGCGTGGCAAGGCAGGATTTTGCTCCCCAGGATTTTGGGCAGCGCTGGTGGGAGGCAGAGGCTGGTCCCCCGTACAGGGCAGCGGCAGCAAGCTCGGCTTTTAGGTCTCAGTGTTGCCCAGTGAAATTCCCAGTGGATTTTGGTTCCTGGGTGGGTTTCCCAGCACAAGGCTGCCACAGAGCCCATCACCACTGCGCCGTGCCGCCCTGCCACGGGGCAGGCTCTCCCTGCATCCACAGGGATGGCAAGGATGGTCTGAAAACCACCAGGAAAGCAGCGTGCCTTCACCCCAAAAAAGATCCAAGATGGGCACCGGCGTCTGGAAGGAGGACAGGAAAGCCGAGAAGGGAAGGAGCTGTTGTCCCGTGCAGCTGGTGGGCACGGCACACTGCGTTTTCGGGAGCCTGTATTTATGGTGACCTGGCGAGGCGGCCTCGCTGCCAGCAGGCAGGGCGCAGCGCGGTGCCCGGGGGGCCCGGATCGGGGACGGCTCGTGAGGCTGCTGCCCTACGAGGAGGTGATGTGCGATGTGTGCTGACCCCGCGGGCATAAAGGACCCTGGCAGCATCACCTCGGAGCTCCTGTCCTCGTCTGCGGGGTCGCCACGCAGCCCGGAGCCGCTCCGGCACCCCAAGGTGCTGCACCCACCCCGTGCCTCTGAAGCACCCCGCAGCCAAGCAGGCTTCTCCTGCGGCCCCAAAGGCAGCGGGGGCGCCTCGTGGCGATGCCCCGCGGGGTTTTCCCTCTGCTGGCAGCGGGCAGGATGCACCTGGGCTGCCGGGGGCTGTTCCTGCCGTCAGCGGGAGGCATTAGGATGCGGCTCATGCCTGGCTCTGCACAGAGGAGGCCGGGCTCCGCTGTCGTTTGAAGGGCAATGACTCAGGGACAGCAAATCCATGAATGAGGCACAGAGGCTGCCCGGGGGAGCAGGAGCCAGCTGGCCACACGGTGCAGGGTGGGCAGGGGGCACGGTGCTGGCTGAGGCCCCCAGCAGAGCAACTCCTTCCCGAGCCCGGCCCCGCTCTCCTTCCTCATCACTTTTTGGCTTTTACTTCTCCAAATTCTGGTGTGAGCACGGATGGCAAAAGGCAGCGTGAAGGCACCACCTGGCAAGGCTTTGGTGTGCCAGCGCCCTGCCCCGGCGAGCTCCCGGTGCTGGCTGGAGAAGGAGGAGCTGCCCCTGCTCATCCCCTCAGGGTGGAGAGGTTTGGCACCTCGGCTGGCATCTCATCTCTGCAGGGCAGCTGCCCCTGCCTGGGTAGAGCCTTGCCAGAGGCTGTGCGGGCTGTAGCCTGCAGGCGATGTGCAAAGTTTTGGCAAAAAGTTTCTCTTTCCTTTGGAAACGCTCCGGATTTCAAAGCCCGAGCCCCTGGCATCACACAGAGACCCCCACCAGCCACCAGCGGCTGCTGCCCTGGATCCCACCGGGGCTGGGGAGATGTTGTGGGCTCTTCAGGGCACACACCATCCCCTCGGGGCTGCTGGCAGGGTCTTCTCTGCGGTGGGTTTTGCTCATTTCTTGCCCCTCTTCTCACCTCCCCTGGGCTCCTTCTGTTGTTTCGGGGTCCCTCCCGGAGCTCACTGCGCCTCCGTGCCTGGCAGTGTCAGCAGATGCAATTAACGGGGCCGCTCAGTGATTACGAAGTCGTTTGGGCTGATTTTGGCCTTGGTGGCACCTGGCTGGGCTCCCGATTCCCCCCAGAGACACGGCGTGAGGCTGAGGTGTCTCCTTGAACCCTGCCTGGTGCTGCGCGCCCTGCTCCGCCGTGCCCTCGCAGCAGAGCCCCCGCAGTGCTGGAGAAACTTCTTCAGGCTCCAGCTGTGGGTAATTGATGGCTTGTGGCACTGAAGTGTCTCGCCTTTATTTTTTTATATCCCTTCTAATGTAACAGGATGTTCTCATTAGCCCCATCAATGTTTAATCTGCTTTGGAGCCCTGGCTGCAGCCGTATCTGACGGGGGTGAATTCCTCCAGCGCCTCTGATGGATCGCGGGCACCTGATGGCTGCGTCTGCCCCGGCTCTGTCGGAACCGTCTGCGTCCTCCTGGCCGCCTTTAATCCCTTTTTACTCGGCTTTCATCACTTTTTACTCGGTTTTAATCACTTTTTACTCAGCTTTCGTCCCTTTTTAGCGGGGGGCTGGCAGGTGGCAGGGGGCTGCGCCTGCAGCTGGGGCTCTCCAAGTCCTGCCAGGAGGTGCCTGCTGCTGGTGGGCAGCTCCCAAACCCTCCCCGGGCTTCGTGCTTCAGCTCGGAGCCCCCAGGGGTTGTGCTCGGGGTGCTGCTCTTGGTTCTCCACACCCCGCAGGCTTCGCTTGCGTTGGACACGCCGCAGCCCCCGATGGAGAGCAGCACTGGGGGCGCATCCCCTCTCCCTGAGCACGTTTTCTCCTCGGGGCTGTTATTTCTGCATCCAAGCAGCATTTTGGGTGTAGCTGCTTAGGGAAGCGCCGCTCTGGAGCCAGGTCCCAGCCACCATTTGACTTGTGCTGCTCTTCCAGCTCTCGCCATCCCCGGTGTGCCCCTCGCCAGGGCCAGGCAGGGCTCGGTGCCGTTTTTCACGGTCCTTGGGTTCCTCCTGCAGGCAGCACCGTGCCCCGGGAGCTGCTGGAGCCCCCCAGGCACTGCTCCGGGGTAGTCCCATCGCTCATCCATGTCCTGTGGCTTCTCACTGCGCCCTGCGTGGGTGCTGGGAGCCGCTCAGGCTCTGATTTTTGGGATGGGACGGGTGCACCCGGACCAGGCGCTGGGCTGGGGACTACCTGCTGGGGTTCGGCACATCGGGATGGGGCAGTGCCGCTCCACCCGGGCATCTCCCACCCCTCCATCCCCCAATTCAGCATCACGCCCCTGCTGGGCTCACCCCCAGGCCACCAGGGTGCCCCTGCTGAGGGTGGCAGGGCCCCGGCTGCTCCCTGCCCGCCGGCCACGTCCCATCCTGGCTGCCCCTTCCCACGCATACCTTCACGCCGTGCCCTCCCGTCCAGCTGCGCTTTGTCCCCTCTCAAACCCGGCCAAAAACGCCTCTCCAAAAGCAGGGCAGAAAGCAGCGCCGGGGATTTACAGCCGCCCCTCTTGCCCCGCCGGCTCTGCATGGGAGCGCGGGCGCTTTGCTCTCGGGTCTGTGCGCACCAGAAGTTTCTCAGGACAGGGTCTGTCTGCTGCCCGTGTCGTGCAGCCTGTGGCACAATGGGGCCCAGTCCTCGCCCGCTTCCATAAGCAGCGGCCTCAATGTGCATTTTGTTTACGTTCAATACATTTTGTTTTACAGCAGCGCCTGCAGGCAGCCCACCAAGACTGGGGCCGCGTTGTACCAGACACTGTCCAAAGCGTGGGCTGTCGCTGCCAGAAGAAAATCGCAGGGCAGAGAGGACAGAGCCAGGATGTGGGGGGACTGAACACGCCGCCGACATCACGTAGGCTGCGCCGGGGCTTGGCCTTTGTGCTCGGGGGGCTGGCGGGCAGAGCGCTCCCAGCCCTCACCATCCCCGCTGGGAGGAGGGACGCGGCGCCCCCAAGGTGGCATTTCATTGTTAAACCAGCGTTTGGTGGGAATTTGGGTGCTCTGAAGAGGCCGGGTGGGATCAAACCCCTGCGGCAGCCGGCTGGGGTCTGCCCGAGCAGGGTGGCTGTGGGCACGCGGCCGGATACTGGTGGCAGCGGGGTCATCGTGGCAAAGCTAAACTGGGCAAACTGGGAGCTGTGGTGGGAGGGAAGGGGCCCAGGGTCCCTTCTGTCCCGCCCAGGGTGGTTTTTGGGGCTCCTCTCCCTGTGCCCAGCGGGGCATCGTGTTTGTCCTGCGGGCAGCAGGTGCAGCTGTATGGCCAGGGCCCTGTCCCCAAAACCCCGAGCTGTGCGCCCAGCAGCTTTCCCAGGGGAAACGTCCCACATTTCCCCCTTGCCTGGCTGAAGGTTTGTGTGTGTGCGTGCACAGAGGTGTAGGAGCTCGTTCTCTGCATTGCCAGCTCCAGGCAGCGAGCTGAACGTGCTGCAGGCAGGGCTGTGGGGTGTCTGAGTAGATGAGGGGCATGCGCTCGTGCCCTAAGGCTGCTTTCTGAGAATTTTGGCAGAGGTGAGCTTAGGGAGCTGCTTGTGTCTCGGGCTTGCTTTCAGGGGGGTCTATTTGTGAAGGAGAGGGTTCTCGGATACCTTCCTCGTTCCCTTCTTCTGGGGGGTAAAACAAAGACCCTAAAACCAAGTTTCTTCATGAAACCACTGAGGTCAGCAGCGTTGGGACTGGATTTAGGATGTCGCGGAGGAAGGCGGCCTCCAGCCAGGGGCACGGTAGGGATGAGGAAGAGGAGGAGGAAGAGGATGCCCCCACTGCCCTGCTGCTGCCCCCCTTCCCCCCCAGCACCCCCCGGGCACCCTATTTCTGGCTGGTGGCCCCCATGGCGAGGTCGGTGCCACCCTTAGGTGCTGGGCGAGGAGCCGGCCCCTGCTCGCCTTCCCCCTGTGAGACAGAGGGTGCCCGGCTCCAGCGCTGTCATCACCAGGCACCAGGCAGCTTTATAGAAAGGAAAAAAAAAAAAAAAGAAGTAAAAACACTGAAAAAAGGAGCGATCGCACGCAGTTCTGCTGTGTTTTTTCCTCTTCCCCGCGCCCCAGAGGGGAGCATGCGAAGGGGCAAGGCGGGGAGAGCGCAGCCAGGACCCGGCTCCAGAAATACCCAAGTGACCGACGAACCAGCTGTTGCAGATAGGATGTTGGAACGGCACGGAGCAAGGCTCATGAGAAAAAAAATACGTTGCTCGTTCCAAAGCCCAGCACCATTTATGTCAGGGTTGCAGGCGGCTGTAATTGAATCCGACGGTAATTGGGCGCTGCAGTTGTGTTTGTGACTCCTCCGGGCCGGCCAGCGCCGTTCGCGTTCCCTTAATCCGCTGCCATCCACGGGGGCTCTTCTCTCCCCCTTACGTGGCCTGCTTCCCTCGCCGCATCCTGATGTGCCAGAGCTTGGAGAGGTGCCCGAGCGGCTCATTAGCGGTGCTCATTTCCCTGCGTCCGAGATTAATGAGGCGCAGCCCCTCCAGATGCTCATCCCAGGCCACGCTGGAGAGGCTCTGCTGCCAGCTCGGGGTGCTGGGCGCCGGGTCCCCGGTGACCCCGTGAGTGTGCACGGCCACGCAGCTGTCACCGGGTCAAGGAGGAGGACGAGGAAGAGGAGGAGGAGGAGGAGGAGGAGAGGAGTCGTGAGCGCAGCACCGAGCAGCTCCCAGGGCACAGCCACCCCAGCACGCTCCTGGATGGCTCTGCAGAGCCGCCCCTGAGGCTTTCTCCACACAGCCCAATATTACTGCAATTAAGCGCAGCCCTGGGAAGCTTTGCCAAGCTCTAAACCCGACGCTGGGTTTCTCAAAGCATCCAATTTCCCTGCACCTGGCGTAACCACTGATTACGGCCCCTCCGTGGCTCCCTGTCCCTCGCCACCCCTCGGCTCGCTGGGCAGCGTGTGCCGGCTGCTCCCTGCCCGCCCAGGCGGGGAGAGCTTTGTTGCTTTGTTGCTTTGTTGTTTTGTTGCTTTTTTGCTTTGGAGCATCTTTTTGATGCTCCTCCATCCCTGCCCTGCGCCTCCCGGAGGGTGCTTCAGACGGTGCCGGTGTCTACAAGGTGCTGGCATCACCACCAGCAGAATTATTTCAAAGAAAAAAGCAGGACGTGGTTCTGTGCAGACATCCCGAGGACACAGAAAGACTCTGGGGAAGGTTTTTAGGGACCTCTTTAGGACTTCTGGGGAAGGTTTTTTTTCGGTTGTGTTCACATGGCCCGGCTGGGGAGTCTGATCCTGTGATTCCCAGAGCAGCCAAACCCCGAAGCAGAAAGGAGGAAACGCCCACCAAAAGGCAGCTTAATTCCTACAGAAACGGTAAAGAGCGAGGAGGAGACACGGGCGAGCTTTCCGCGGTGAGTCAGGCAGCGAGTAAATCTCCTCCTGCCCTCAATCCTCAGGCGTCCCCTGCAAGAGCAGGAGGAAGCTGCGGGGGACGAGCGGCGAGGGGAGGCGCAGGACGGAGGGGCTGCGAGGGGGCTGCGGGCACGGCGAGACCCTGCTGGTTGGGAAGTCCACAAAGTGCTGCTCCCCAGGCCCTGGAGAAGGGGATTTGGGAAAAGGAGGAGGCAGCGGGGTCGGGGAAGCGATCACCCCGGGCTCCCTGCCCAGCTCCCCTCCTCCTCGGCCCCAGGGAATGAGCTCAGCAGAGGCAGATCCAGAACTGGAGCTCCAGGCTCTCCCTCCTGGCCGTGTCCTCGCAGTCTGGTTCCAGAGCCAGGCCTTCATCTGGAGCTGTTCCACTCAGCCTGAATAATTAATATCCAGAGAGAAAAAGCAGGGCTGAGGCTGCAGCTCCCACAGCCCAGCCGAAAGCCGTGGCCACGGGGCTGCTGACTGCCCGGCCCCCGTTCAACTTTTTCTGATGAAAATTTCACCAAAACAACGCTTCCGTGGGAATGCTGGGGTCTGTGAACGGGCATTTTCCAGGGGAAAAAAAAAAGGAAAAGAAAAAAGAGAACTTGCCAAGAATTTCCCAACCAGCACGAACCCTGAGACAGCACCAGGGTGCAAACAAAGGGTGATAAGGATCTGTGGAAAACGCGGGGGTTTTGGAGACGTTGTATGGAAACGTCATGGGTTTAAAGCCTCCAGAACATACAAACCCCTCGGGAAGGAGGAGCAGGGGCTTTATCCCAGCACATTTAGGGGGGAAACTCCTTCCCTCTGACTTTCAGGGAGCTCGGAGGCTGGCTGTGGGCATCAACCTGACCTTAATTTTGCCGGGCAGGCAGCGGGACGGGAGCGCACAAACCCCATGAGCTGCTCCCTCCCTGCCCGTCCCGTGGCTCATGGGGACATCTCGGTGTGCCGGGTGGCTCGGGGGGGAGCTGGGTGCTCCGGGCAGGGGGCTGAGCAGTGGCAGCTCGTCTGCACGTGGTGCACAAAGCTCTCCGTCACTGGTCTCGGTCACTGGTCTCGGCAGCGGTGCCCATCTGGGGGGGACACGAGTCCCTGCGGCCGCTTTGCTTTAGTTTCGTGGTGGTTTCGGTTTGGTAGAGCAGTTCTGCGGCCCCTAATGCTTTAAAGGTCTCCTTGAATTGCTGGATGAATTCAGTGAGTAGCCCAGGGTGTGCTGCCAAGCTCTGCCAAGTGAGCCAAGCGAGGTAAGCGGCCTCCCCTTCCCCTTTTTTATCCCCTTTTCCTTCCCTTTCCCCTAACCCCCGGGGTTTCCGCGGCGCTCGTGCTACCCCGCTGCGTGTGTGGGTGACCCGTCCCCCTCGGTGCCTTCCCTAGGCTGTCTACAAGGCCTGGCTGTGCTCCGAGTATTTCAACGTGACACAACAACAGTGCCGACACCGGATCCCATGCAAGCAATACTGCCTGGAGGTGCAGACCAGGTGCCCGTTCGTGTTACCGGACAACGACGAGCTGATCTACGGAGGCTTGCCTGGCTTCATCTGTACGGGTAAGGACACCGCGGGAGCAGGGCTGGGTGCTGGGGAGCCCGCAGGGCTTTGCAGGACGTCTGCCAGGCTGTGAGGTCGTTTTGGGGAGGAGAGGAGGGGGAGGCGTGGTGCAGAAACACACCGAGTGCGTGCTGAGTGCCAGGACGTGGAGCTGGGGTGAGATGTAAGCGCTGCATGGAGACGTAGCAGCAGGCTCAGCTCGGGAAACAAAAGCCCAGTGAAACCTAAAAAAGTGTGAGGGGGCTGAAGGTGGTGGGATGATGCAGGGCCAGGACACATGGGTGCTGCCTGGGGAGCCCTGACCGCACCGGGGTCCCTCCCTGTGCACCAGTCCCACCAGTGGCTGCTGCTGGGGGTCTCCGGGTGTGCCGGTGCTGGGGCTGGCACCGTGCTCGCTCCCTCTGCTCGCCGTCCTCGTCCTCCCCGCTGACCCCCTGCTCCCTTCCCGCAGGGCTGCTGGAGACCCAGCTGCCCGAGGAGGAGGCCAAGTGCTGCGAGGTGCAATGGGACTCCTGCGACCACCCCCCAGACAGCAACTACAACACATCCCCCAAATCCACGGCGTCAGAGTCGCTCCATTACCACCGCCACGACCCCCACCTCCATCACCAGCGGCAGAACCACTACCACCTCTACCACCACCACCACCAGTACCACCAGTACCACCACTCCCCATCCTTGCTGCCGGTCTCCGCAGGGTCTCGCCTGGGCAGCAGCAGGCTCAGGCTGTGCGTGCTGGTCCTGATGCTCCTCCACACCATGGTGTCCTTCTCGAGCGTGCACAGCGGCGGCGGGGGGCTCAGCCTGGAGGCCCTGCCCGCCCTGGACGAGAGCGTGGCGCGGGACGAGTGACACGGAGGGGGGAGCCGACCTCCGAGAACGCCAGATCTTTTTTCCACGAAGGGGGGCACATGCTATTCCTCCAATGGGAGGCACGGGATTGGGGGTGACGCACACACACACACCCCCGCACATACCCCCAAGAGCTGCTCGCCGCGGGGCATCCCCGTGATGAAGAGTCTCTAATGCGCACAGGGCTGCGGGACTCGGCTTTGAGAAGGGTTCGGTCAGGAGCAGCCAGGCGCAGGAGCAGGGGGAGCAGGGGGTACAAAGGAGCAGAGGGGACAAGGGAGCAGAGGGGACGGGGTCCCCCCCTCGCAGGAGGTGGCCCCGCGGGGCTGCCGCGCTCCTCCCTGCCGCCTGCCGCGAGTGCCTTGGGCGCCCGCACCTCACCTCACCGCCAGCCAAATGCCAAGAGTTTGGAAATCAGCCTGACCCCCGTTTTCTATTTCTCCTCCGTCCAGAACGCCCCGCACCCGGCCGGGCAGGACGGAGGCAGCACCTCTCTGAAAATCCCTGTCCTCCCTTCCCATCCCCGGGGAAAACCCCGCTGGTGCAAGGCAGCCCCTGCGCGGGCTGGCCGGGCTCCTCCTGCTGCTGGTGGGGCTGGAGGATGCTGCGCCACGGGGCCGGTGTCCCCACGGCCCCACCTGCTCCTCCGGTCGTGCTCGGGGCGGTGGGGAGGGGCGTCCTGGTGCCCCCGTTTGCGAAGTGTCCCGATGGTTTCGTGTAACCTCTGGCTCTCGTTCCCCATGACTCGGAGCGGAGTCGGGGAGACGTGGCTCTGGCAGGGCGCAGGAGAAGCTGAGGGAGTCTTCAGCTCGCGGTGGGATCAGGCGTGGTAACAATTGGATGAAAGGCTTCCGAAGGCGTCCGTCCCTGCTCGGCGGCTGCAAATCATCGGCTGGATGGCAGAAGGACTGGGCAGAAGGGCTGGCGAAATCTGGCTGGTAGGGATGGTCTCCCACACAAAGAAGAGGCGCTAATAAAGCCCAGCTGGGGAAGGGAGTTCTCGCGACTGCTTTTTATCACTGGATGCGCCCCAGATCAGAAACCTTCTAGGAGCCCAGCTGGGACAGCGGGACACGGTCGGGCAAGGTGCTGGCTGGTGCGGCCCGGATCGGCTCGCTTCTTTCCTTTTCACCTGAGCTCAGCGTTTCATCAGGTCCTCTCTCTGCTCAGAAACTCCCAAATTCTCCATCCACCCACCAGGATCTGCTCGCGGGGCGGCCCCAGGGGGACGGTGCCGCTCGTCAGGCACCCGAGGCGAGAGGGGTCCCGTGGGCACGGGGCGAACACCGGGGTGGGCGCACAGAGACTGCTTGCCCGACGTTTCCAGCCCATTTCCAGACCAAAGAGGCTCTGAAAAGCAGCTGAACGTTCAACGCCTGCTTTGCCTTGAAGCTCGGAGCTCCGGGGAGGTGTTCAGGTGCCACCTGTGACCAAAGCCCTGCGGATGTGAAGCCCGGCAGCTCGTTGGCATCGGTACCGGGCTGGAGAACTCGCGTTTGGGGAAGAAGCAGAGCGCATCCCGAGCGGATTTTGCTGCTGATGCTGCCCAGAGCAGGTAGGGCAGTTCCTGTTTGGGTGTTCCTAACAGCATCCCTACATTTTCAGCCAAGTTTGCACTGGTTGGGGAACCTGGACACGCAGCGGTTCGGCAAGCAGGAGCGCGGCTCCTGCGCTTGTTGCTGCAAAATCGAGTGGTGCCGCTGCCGTGCCAAATCGTGAGAGCCCACGGCCAGACCAAAGGAGGGAGAGCAGCCGTGTGCCTGCCTCGAGACGGCCGGATCCAGCTCGTCCTGAAGGAAATTAGATTTTTCGTGCGCTGCCAAGAGTTAAGCTAATTCCAGGCGCCTCCTCGGGAGATAGGCTGCGTCCGATCTCGGAGCGGCTCATCTCGGGAGGGAACAGCCCCGGGTGGTGCGTCAGCCAGCGGCCCTGACTCACCGGCCCTGCTCATTGTCTGCCGCACAGCCTGCTCGGGGCCAAGCAGCCCCCGGCCCGCGGACAGCACGGCGAGGGGCACGGGGCCGGGAAAGGAGAGGATCCCGGGCGGCCCCGGGGTGCTGAGCGCGGGGAGCCCCCGGCCCCAGGTGGCCCAAGGAGGCTCGCTGGCCGCGCCAGCCGCAGGGGCTGGGATTTTACCTAGTGTGACTGGAAGGAAAGTGCTGAGTCTTCACAGAGCGAGGCTGTTGGAAGGAGTTCTTTTATTTAGCAAGTCTGGGCTGCTGTCAATAAGTTCTGTGGTTTTAGGGCACCATATGCTGTATTCAACACTTTGCCAATCTCGTTAAGTGGATCCAGACGAGGCTGTTCACAGAACAGGACGGAGCAGCTGGAAGCGGTGTACGTTGCAGTCCATCATTACGGGGCCGTCAGATAAAAATCTTCTCCCCGCTCTGACATTACAACTCCAGGAAGCCTCCCGATCGGCTCTCCCTTTGCTACGCGAGAGGAGAGCCCAGGAAGGGGGCTCTGGCGTTGCCCCCATCCATCCCGCTGCCGCTGCTCCCGCTGCAGCGTGGCGTGGACGTGCCTGGGGCGAGGAGGGGCCCTTTGCAGAGCAGCTCCGGGTGCAGCCCCCAGGGGAACACCCACCCCAAATGCCCTCATCCTCCCGGGAATTCAACCCGAGGTGCTTTCTCCTTTCCCTTCCAGCCCAGTGATCCCGTTCCCTCTCCCAGTGCCCACCGCGGTGTCGGGACGATGCTCGCAGGCAGCCCCGGGCGGCGGGGGAAAGGTGGCCGTGGCCAGTCCCTCTGCAGCATCAGCCCTGTGTTTTGCACTTTAATGTAGCTGCCAGTTGTACAAATTAATTAAAAATAACTGAAGAAAAATCCCAAAGAAAGGCCCTGCTTCCTCTGGTGAAGATTAATCATTACTTGAGCCCTTTTCTTATGAAAATACAGATCCATGGTAGCCCCAGGCAAAAGATTCCCAGGGAGAGCCCTCACCATTCGTGCTCTGAGTTAGGGAAATCGCTTTGAAAGCATCTGACAACTAAAGCAGAACATGTTGAGTAACTTGGCAACACTCAGAAAACATCTTGAAATGGTTTTTGTTCAACACATTTTGCTTTGCTTCAATAGGAGATGTCAGGGCAGTTCATTCACTGCCACTCAGGACTGCAGGCGATGCCGGGAGACGGCTCCTCTGCCCTGCCTTTAGAAAAGAAAGAAGG